ATTAATTAGGATTGAAATCAGATTTTAAGTTTTAAAAACAAGCATCCTTGATAAATACAAGGTTCTTTTATTGATTAAAAAGTAAGATTAAAAATAAGAATTTTAAAAGGTTTTATGTGTGTTAGATTAATATATACAAGGTTTATAATTATTTTATGACTGCTAAGCAAATTCAAATTTTTGTTTTGATTATTTTTCTTTTAAGCATTAAAATAAAATATATTTTTTGGAAAATATCATGAGTTTTAAAATAAATCTATAATTAAAATTTTATATATATTTTTATTTTTATAGTATGTAGCTTAAATTCAAGCTTTATTAATTAATTAGGTTTTAAGTTATTAAAATTTAAGTTTGTTAGAGCACCAATAGTTAATAGTTTGAAGGTTAATAAGGATATCAAAGATTTGTAAAGATCTAATGATTAGATTGAGATGAACTTTTAAAACTTTTAGCTAACAAAAAGAGCAAGATCTCTATAAATTTTGACAGCAAATTAATAATGGAAATTATGAGATCTTGCCACTATGAATTTGACATTAAGATAAGGGAGGGAAGTTGCTCTATACTCAAGTAATGTTTTTATCTTTTTTCTTAGTACATGAATGTAATTCTTTTAAAATTCCTTAAGTCTATTACCAACTAGAAGGTTGAAAGATTTTTTTAAATTAAAGTAAATTTTAAGATTAATTAGTAAATTATAATATTTAAAATTTATTGTTTGATATTTAAAATTTGATGGAATTTGATTAAAATCTATTTAGAATGCATTAAATTTTATATATATTTTATTGGAATTTAATCAAACTTTTTTTTAATTTAATAGGATATTTTTGGATTTAATGAGATTTAATAAGATTTACCTGTAGTTTTAATATAGATTTGTTAGGATTTAAAACAACTTACTTAAGTTTTATTTAAAAAATATTTATATTAAAGATTTGTTTAGAAATTGATTTGAATTTACTTTAAATTATTATGGTATATTTAGGACTTATTTAGAATTTTTTAGGAGTTACTTAAAAATTATTTAAAAAAATATTCGAATTTCATAGAATGTATTTAGGCTATTTTAGAATTTAATAGAATATATTTAGGATATCTTAAAAATTACTTAGGAATTTTTTTTTAATATTATTTATGAATAGATGGATTTGTAATTTAGAGTTGATAGAAGTTAAGATTGATTGAGTTTAGAATTTCTAAGAAGATCAAAATTGTCAACAATGAAGACACATCTAAAAGAGGCTCAAGAACAATAAAAAGCTAATGCAATTATGTTTTGAAAAATAGAATATAGACTCAAATTTGGTGATAAGATATAATTAGTCTGTCATTATATCAAGACTAGTTGATTTTGTGACAAGTTTTATCTTCAAAAAAATTATCTTTTATCTAAAATTAGATTAATTAATTTATATTCTATATATCTCTTATTAAATTTTATACTATATTTAGCATATTAAGAAGAAAAAAATTACCATCATCTTTTATTAAAATAGATAAAATTCACAAGTTAAAAAATAAGATATCTCAAATTCAAAGCAATGCCAAAATAATTTAGAATATCTTGTGCAATAGTACAAATATAATATCAATAAATGTACAAGAAAACTATTTGTGAATCTTGTAAATCTCGTAAACTTTTTTATGTTCTAACCTTGGTTCAAGACCTTCTAACTCCTTTGTACTTGGCAATATGCATTCTAGTTCCTATTTATTTTAGATCTATATAATTTCTTCTTACTTTGTGATTACTTCAATGATATATGATTGTATTGTTTTCTAAGTTTTGTTTAGATACATGGTGTTGACACAACAATTGTGTCAATGTAAACTTCTTCATTAAAGATTTGTCATTCACCTTTGGCTTTTTCATATATATAGAAAAATGCACACTTGTATAATACATGTGACCATTTTATATTGTGAACTATGTTGTTATTATTATTATTGTTTTATTTTTAAAATACTCCAAGGGCTATCAATGTCTGTTCATGTGTGAAAGACATGTGTTGGATTCTCAAATAGTCCAAATGGTCCCTCAAATTCTAAAACCATTGAATAATTTGGAGCATTCAATGATCCATGGAGACTTGACGGGTCCAGCATGACTTGAAGCAGGGAATGTTTAAATATCAATAAAATTTGAAAAGAAAATTTAAACAAACAAGAGACATCAGCTTCCAATCTACACACTTGCAAATCTGTAGTCTTGACTTCAATGTTGAACTTGTTTAATGGAACTCTTGTTATGTAGCATGGCTTTAGCAAAGAGTTGCATTGGGCACCAAAGACATGGAGAAAAATCATGTAACCATAATCCATTTGACCCAATGTAATCTTGATTCTAGATATGCATAATGCACAATTCAATTATATTTCAAGAGCAGTTTTTCAAAATCAAACACTTTGTTAAGTTATGAAACTTTAATCAAAGAGAATAGTAATTGCTGATAATGAGAGTATTAATACAAATGAAATTTAGAACTACACTCTATTGTTTTCATACTTTATAAATTGTTCAAAGAAGTTTAAATAAAGTCAACCATGACACTCTATTCCACAATGTAAGTTATATTAGTGAAATTCACTACAACAATTTTGCAAAAAAATGTATTTTATTAAGTGTTACATGTTTGAAAACCTTAACAAACTCAAAATCACAATGCACACTTTGCCACACAGGATACAAATTTGTGAAACACACTTACACACCCACACACATAAATATATATATATATATATATATACATGAATGTTAATATGTCATAGCTTTCAATGTGACAGCACATTTTGCATAAACCATTTTGGTTTAATAGTAACACTTAATAAAAAATAGATTGTGAACCTACTTTTTTTTCAGCTTCAATCTTTTGTAAAACAAAATAAAATAAAATCACCTTCACACTATCAAAATTTATTATTTATAAATTTTTATATTTCAGAGTCTATTGTTAAATTACTCTTGCTACAAAAGCTTAGATTTAAATGAAAGATAAGTGGTAGCAAGTTTTGAAGTTAATTACGTTTGTGTTTTTTTGACAACGTACTTGTTATTTAACATGAATGAACGTTTCTTTTTGGTATTAAATGTCAAAATACATTTAAAATTACTGAAACATATATGATAACTGCTTTGCAGAGGAGTCCATGTGGGCGGCGTGTGGGGGAAGGGCACCACCATTCCTTGTCCACGTGGAGCTCTCTTTTCCTACATCCGGTCCACCTAGGCAGTCCCACAGGTCCACGTGTACAAATGGGACAAGTTGTTGGCAACTTGATCCACTCGGTACTTGGATGTCTGGGCCCTCTCGGATGACGTGGCGCTGACTGGACACTGCGAAATATCTGGAAACCTTTTTCCTTTTTGCAGAGTTTCAGTGTTTGGGCGAGTGAGAGGGAAGCTGGACCGAGAGTATTGAAAAGGAGACTATTCCTCACCCTCCATTGAAGTGAAGAAAACGTACAAAATTGTCCCTCGCCAATATCCAATATCTTTTGATTTTTGGGTTCGGCGTCGAGAGTCTTGGTATGGTAGCTCGTCAGGGTAACACATAATTTGCTTTCTTTGCTGTACGAAGAGGGTTGTTGAGGAAGGTCTTCGATGATTCTGCCGTCAGGAGCATGAAATCGAAAGTCGTACAGATTGTCGCAATCCGATTGCGGAATAGACCCACATTCAGAAGCATGCCTAAATTTGTTGGGACACTGCATTGTTGGGGTTGTATTGTTTCTGTTTGATCAGGCTGATGTGTATCAATGGAGCTGCCATGTTGCATTTCGTTGCCTCTTGTCGTGTGCTTAGTTGACGAATGCGTCGAAATCCACAGTGCTTGACACATATGTGCGATTGTAGTTCTCATGTGGATGCATCATCTCCGCGCACATTTAAAAACACTATTCAACAAAGCTAGGCGTTCCCCGTCAACCAGTTTGCATTGGAGTCTTTTTGTTGCGATTAAAATTTTTTTACACGAAAAATCATACTACATTTCACAAAATCCCTCACAAACACTTGAAGATGGAACTTGGACTTCAAAGTTTGTCAGCTATCTGTGCGAGGCATTAAAAGCTTATTCCTGGCATTCCACTCGAGCAGCAGACAATCCACTGTCCATATGGATAAGTGGCAGAGACTTGGTGACAGACACACACTCAAAAGTTCTTTGATGAGTTCAGATCAGAGAAGTGACTACTGGTACAGTGGAGAATATAACAGTTCTGTTAGCTTCCAGGAGTAACCGAAAAAAACCTAAACGTACTCCTACATTCTTCCGTGATTTCACAGTGAATTCTTCAAGAATATCTTAAAAATATTCGCAAATGATGAAAATCTGTGGTCGTTGACAGACAAACCTTTGCAATATGTTTACATGAGATTGGGAGTGACTCTGTTCATCGAGAAAAATTGAAGGATCTGACTTTCAGTAAAGGATCACGAGGAGCCAGTTTTGGACGCAGGTTTAGGGTTTATGGTTTATGGTCTGTTGTGGAAATTTACAATGTCCAATTGGGTTCTCGCAGTAAACAGAATTCCCAGTGGGTAGGATGGAAATTTGACGGAGCTTGTTTGAATCGATTTTCGAAACTGGTGTCAAGATGGAGGTATTTGAAATTTGACGTTCTCCCCTGTGTAGAATGTAGCAAAATGGATAAGTTGTTTTATGTGGACGGATTCTTCTGACATAAATGATCCCGCATACTTGTTGCGATAGTTCTCTGAAAGCACGCATTTATGAAGCACATGATGATCATGCAAACTCGGTTATGGTGAAGGTGTATTGGTAAGGGTGTGTGGAGAGAGAAAGAGTGGATGATTCTGTCAATTGGGCAACGAGCAACAACAGGCTTCTAACTTGACTTACTCCAGCTCGTGGAGTTGCAGATGCGGCACTTTCGAGAAAATATCTGAGGTGGGCCGTATTTCTGTCTTTGATTTGATCAGATTGACGCTTTTTGGGGTTGGAAAGCAGAGGCCGCAAAAGCAAGCTCACAGTTGAAATTGTTGAGGATCACGGTGGTGTAATTTTGGGCTCCTCTTGTCTTTTTGTCAGAATGTTCCTTTAGGGTTTTTAATGGGAGATAAAGCCTATTGGGTCTGTGTAGTGAAACTTCTGAGAGAGGGTGGAGGATTTAGCATCAGGAGGATTTGGCATCTGGAGGATTCCGCGGAGATTGTTGAGCTGTTCCTATGAAGAGATTTGCACGCAGCGAGGTTTTTTTGTAGAATTTGGTTCATGGGAATTGCTTGACCTGAGCTTCATCTCTCTCACCCCATCCCTGCTAGGCACATTGTTGAACGAGTTTCGATTTTGTGCTTGCAGATATTACAAGCATATTATCTTGTTGTCTGGTCCATTCGCGCCCGTCTTGTTGCAAGAGGCCAATGTAGTTATTGCTACACTGACGGGCCGCTATGGCCTCCTCTACCGCGTCGGTGTCACAGATGTCATCCTCCGCTGCTTTCAACTCTTCCACACGTAGCCTCTACAAGACTGTGAAAGTTGAAGGGTCGCGTGTGAATTCTAGTTGGAGGACCTGTTCAGCGTTTGTAAATATATCCTCTTTGCTGTCCGTTTCGTCATTTCAGTCTTTGAACGTGGAAAATTCTGCAAAATCCTTATCTCTGCGGGCAGTTGACAATGTTTCAAACATCCGGGCTAGTGGTGCCACGCGTTTGAAACCTGTAAGCTCAAGTGCGGGCAACGTTTCTCTTTCAAGCGATAGAGAAACGACTGCCAATGAGCAGACAGAGATGGCTCCCATGAGTGCTGCGGAGAGAATGGGCTGGGAGCAGCGTCAGAAGGAGGCAGCTGAGACCAAGGACGCTGCGGACCCCTTTCAGTGGCGGTGGACGCTAAACTGGGACCAAATTACTCCTAACATCATTGTGGGTTCATGTCCACGAAGCCCTGGGGACATTGACCGTATGGTAGACGAAGCAGGCATTGATGCCGTTCTTAACCTTCAAAGTGACCTTTGCTTTGACGCCCTCAAAATTCCCTATGACTCTATCCGGAAGAGAGCGGTATTGGTTCAACATCTTTCTTTTCCTTCACTTTATTTACCCTGCTTCGATTGTCGGACCAATTCCTTAGTATCTACGTATCGTTGATGTTTATAATTTCATCTCGCACATGGATCGTAGGTGCATCTAATTTTGCAATATCCTTAATTCGAAGTGCATGATCCAATTGAATTGCCTGCCTCTTCTATCGGCAATGGCTAGAAAATCAGTTTATTACAGAATGAAATTATAACTTTGTAAACTTTCTGGAATGTGAAACATGTTGCTGGGGTGCTGCTGATTATGATAAGAGCTGATGGACTGAAATGAGCACTCACTTGTAAGGTCTTATCGATTGACAGAAGTGTTTTGGTAATGACAGTTAGAGCGAGGGATTCGCCTGGAACGAGTGGCGATACGAGACTTCGACCACGCAGATCAATCCTTGATGCTTCCAGTAGCTGTTCGACTCCTAAATTCGCTGATTGGGAGAGGAATGAAGGTCTATGTGCACTGCACTGCTGGGATTAATCGTGCCACACTGACCACGGTTGGCCACTTGACATTCGTTCAACAAATGGACTTGGAGGATGCCGTCGCATTAGTGAAATCTTGTCGACCGGTGGCTCATCCTTACATAGACTGTTGGATTGAAGTTCGAAGGAGACTCTTAGACGGAAGAAAAGACGAAGTCACTCGCACTTCGGAACAACTTTATCAGGCTAGACTCCAGAGTGGAACAGAGGGAACGGAGGATCAGGATTGGTTCAAAGCGGAAAAAGTTGTCGTTTCACAAACATTTCAGAGATACCTTGAAACAGATGTTGCTTTGATTGACATGGAAACAGCTTGGTTAAAACGGAGATTTGAGCTCGAGCACAAATCTAATCTTGGTGGAAATGGGTCAGTGCACTATCTCTGAATTCAGGGTTCAAGAGGTGCATTATAAAGGGGGGCTAATATTCTGTGATGTGTATTGCAATTTCTTCAAAGACCTTAGGTCTTCCAAGCGTAGTATGTCTAGGATAAGGAACAATTATTCGGAGGAATTGTAAATCATCCTCTGATTGCTTAGAGCTGTTCCTAAGTTTTTACTTTCGCTGAAGAGAACTGTAAAGTATCCTCTAACTGCTTAGAGTTGATCTTTAGTTTATACCTATAGATGTTTTCAATATCAAAAGATGGGCGCACAAGGAATACCGCGGAATGTGCCCTGCCCCACCTTTTTTCGGCTATGTGAATCTTGTATCCTAACCGGCGACCGTCATGAGCACTACAGTGTTATTGACTCTGCATCTCTAAATCAGTCAAGTTACTTCATCCCGAGTCTCGTTGAAACAATAGGGCCAAACGCTGAAGCATTCCACGGTCTTTTATGGTCGTTATTTGTTCTTCTAGTGATATTAATCCGGAAATAACCCTATGTAAGATACCCACAGGCTCTGCTGCTCAAAACCCAAGAGCACCCATTTCTAGAAATCCGAAAGTCAAATGTGGTGATTCACATCACCTCTGGAACCAAAATTTTAACCAAAATTGTAATCAATGAGATTCATTGATAAATCTTAGCAATGGAGCATTCAAGCTTGAGTATTGTTTTCTTCATTCTCAACTATGTGCTTGCAATTTACACTGAACATTGCAGTCTTTACTTGCTACATTTTGTAAGCAGACGACCCTGTATTCACTTACTAATCTCAACATCTGCAATTGTCAGCCTAAACATCTTGTAGATACAAATTTAATAATAAATCCTTCAAACAAAAATTTCAGTAATTAACTCAAAACTCATATCACAATTGATTGTATTATGATAGCTTTTGGAGGTTGTGTAACATGAAGTGCACTAAAAAGCGGCTATCAATTTTACCTCATCTTAATCTGCATGGGATCAGACACATGTGCAAATATCAGTGGAAACTTGTAATTTGAGAAGTAAACTTTTTGATACAATTTGTCATATTTTGGAAGTCAAAGCATTCTATAACAATTACCATGTTTATTAGTTTACATTAGAATATGTAATATATATACTTTTTGTATTGTGTTTTGATTTAGTTATATCATTATTTATGGCCAATAAAAAAAATGTCATGTGATTATTAATATTCTTTTCTACAAAGCCTAAAAATTGGGATGTTGTAAATTCTTTTTGATGTTTTGGTCGTAGCTTTGTAAATTGACATACATAATTGTAATATTAGAATAATTAACTTTGCTTCTTATTTATTTGTTTATTTATTTATTTATTTATTTATTTCTTTATTATAGCCATGGAAAAAACAGATTTTTATAACAAATTGCAAGTGTCAAATTTTAAATGGCAATTCAATATTTCCAAATTTTATGTTGGTTCTTGTAATGAAAATCTATTGTCATGTTCATGTTTCAATTATTATTTCAACATAATTAATAAGTAATGAAAACCTTTGATATTAAGATGTGTGTTATTACATATTCTCTTCCTATATAGCATGGTCTTATGATAGGTGCTCCAACCTTCAATGTTTAGTAACAATGAGGTATTCTATTATTGCATATAGTATTGAGAAATTCTATTAAGTAGATACTATGAATATATAGCTTTAGATCTATTGAATTTTTGTTTTGTTTGTTTGTTGGTTTGTTTTTTTATTTTTATTTTTTTTAAAAAAAAATACAAGAATTTAATTCATCATTATCAAAAATAATTGTAAAAATAATTGTGCAAATTTTAATGTATTCTTCATTGTTTGCATAATCACCGATATTATAATATAACTTGCCAATCAAATAACTCACTATTTTAAACAAATAACATGCTTTGATTATTGGCTCTTTATAAAGTTTAGTCAATGCAATAAATTCTAAAGTCAATGTATGTTAATAAATTAAGATATATCTACTTCATCAATCCCTATTATATGACACAAGAAAGGATCTAGTTTTGTAACTTTTGTTGGAATTTTTGTTAGAAGAAAATAGAGCTATATAGCCATAGGCAATCAAACATTAAGTATTACAATAATCACTTCTTTTTAATATATGAATACAAAAAAGTAATATAATATATTTAATTATTTAATTTTTAAATTATTAATAAAAAATTATTTATTTGAATTTAATAAAAATAAATTAAATTTTATATTTTAATTATTTAATAATACTTAGTTTTAATAAAAAAAAATTAATGTAAACCATTTTCTATAATTTTTTTTTGTTTGATTGTTTATTTTTATATTTTTTAGAATTTTAAATATTTATAAGATACATCTATAATAGCATAAATATCAAATGATAGAATTTAGAATACTTGAGTAAAGTGAATTAATAATCATAATTATTAAAAAATATATATTAATATTTTTAAGATATTAAATCAAAAAACATATATTTATAAAATTAAAAAATTATATATATAAAAAAGAATTTTTTTATATATATAATTTTTTAAAATAATATATATATATATATATATATATATATATATATATATATATTTAAAAAATCCTATAAAAGACCATAAAGAAATGAAACTTAAGAAATACCTTGTTTGTTTGTTTTTGGATATAAATACAATATTATTTTCAATACAAAAGTATAAGTTTTATAATTTGTATAATAAAAAAATATCTATAAAAAAATAATTTTTTAAAATTTATATTTTTATTTAAATATATTGAATAGAGATATTTTAAGCCTTAATATTACTAAGATGTTATCATTTTAGTTATTAAAAATATGATAACTTTTAAAAAATAACTCTTTTTTTCTAAACTTAATTAGAAACCTTGTATTAAGAAATAAAGACTTCAAGACTGATTTAAATAAAATCCTATTTTTTATTATTTTATTATTTTATTATATTTTAAAATTAAAATATTAAACACAATAAATTTAGCTTATATATATATATATATATATATTTAAATATTTAAAATAACTATATGTTTTTTGAAAATCATTATTTTATTTCTTCAAAAAATAAATGATAGTAAAATTTTTCACTTGAAATTTAGAAAGACCATCTACAAATATTTTTGTGACAAATCTTTTTCTTAAGAAGTATTTTCTATTTCTAAATTATTGAGTATATGAATTAATTACATATAAATGTTTTTTAGAAGTTAATTTTTTTTTGTCATATTAAAATATTATATCTTGGTTATTAACATTTAAGATATGATAAATTTTTAAAAATAATACCTCTAATTTTAATACTATCTAAATTATTATTATGATTAAATAATATATTTAATAAACTTAATAAAAGTACTTTAATTTTTAAAAATATCATTGGTTTAATTTTATAATTTGTATGTTTTATATCATAATATTTCAAAAATTATTAAAGAATCAAAAATAAATATACAAATAATAATATTTTTAGATTGTTAGGCATGCATGCAGCAAAAGATATTAAATTAATTTTACTCTTTAAAAGGTTAGAAATTAGTACCAAATTTTGTTATCTTTCTTTCCATGTCATTAAATTGACCCATATAAAAATCAGTTGATTAGCTAGGTATTAACTTTTATCATTTGATCTGGTGCAAGATTATTTTTTAATTATAATGAATGATTGCAAAACAATTAAGAAAAAAGATTCTAGAATAAAATAGGAAGGATTTAAAATATAAATCCGTTTATTTAAATTTCAACATCTCAAGAAATTGATTAGTATCTCAAAAGAATTCATTGATAGCATTTAAATATTTTATTTAAAACAATTTATATACAAATATTCTCTTTAATTCAAAAATTCTTTTGTATTTGGTTATAATTTATTTTTTGAGTTTTGTTTTATAATCTTCTTTGCTTGCAATAATTGCTATAATTGCTATAATGTCTACAATATAAAAATTGGAGGTAGAATTACACAAAAACTATTACGAAGTTTTCCTAAGTAAATAGTTTGTAAGTCTTGATAGAAAGCTTTTTTTAGACGTTTTAATGTAAAATTTTAAATGACAAAAAATATAGAATATATACTAAGTGCTTATACCTCGCAAGTATATTATAGATATTTATATATATCTAAGGTTGATGTTATTCATATTCTAATTAATTTCTTCTTTAAATATTATTCTTAAAACTTGATAGTCTTTGTATATTTTAGTGCAATCATTTTTTTTAAATCATGTTTTTAAAATAATTATTTGTATCTACTATTTCAATATTTACCTTCTATGAAATTATTTATTTTTAAAAAATATTTTTTATTATATTATTAATATCTTATCTATATATATTTTGATAATATATATATATATATATATATATATATATATATATATATTCATGTTACAATTTGTAAGGTTTGAATTAATAAAGATCTTCAATACACAACTTTGAATGTAAAATTGGCCTAAGTGTGTATGTATGTATGTATGTATGTATGTATGTATGTATGTATGTATACACACACACACACACACACATATATATATATATATATATATATATATATATTATAACATATTTTTTATTTTTAAGATTCAAAAATTCTAATAATCCTAAATAATAATTGATCAAAAAAAACATTTTAATGAGTTTGTAAAATACTCTGATAACTTAAAATCATTTAGAAGTAGAAAATTAATTATTTTTTTATTTTTACATACTAATAATAGAAAAATTAATATAAAAATAAAAAAGCTACTTGAAATTAAGATTAAAAAAATGAAAAATAAAAAACAATGTAAGGCAAAAAAATTAAAATTAAAGTGTATCTATAAGGTGTTGATATGGCCTCTCTAATTTTTGTTATTGCCACCTGAACTTGCCGTTTAACACTTGCCATCATGGTTCTTACTAAAGCCACTACAAAGTGCCCTAAAGTTGAGTTGTATATCATGAGACACTTTTTTCAACCACTAGAATTGTTACCAAAGCTAATTTTATCAACATGTGACTTTTAATGTCTTTCTCTTGGCCACCATTAATAAAAAGAGAGATAGAAAAAATATAATTTTTGTAAAATAAAATATATCTATCTTTAAAAAAAATTTAAAAATAAAAATATATATAAATGATTATAATATAAAAATACTTAATAATATATAAATCAAATCAAAATATTACTTAATTCTTTTGTATCAATTTTCCTCTTATGTGACATAGTTTTTTGTTTTTTATTTTTTATTTTAAAATTTATTTCTAGTCTTAATTAAATTAATAAATATAATTTTTTTTCAAAAATTATAGAAAATTTTAGAATTTTTCCTTAGAAAAACCATCAAAATATCATTACATTAAAAATTTAATCTAAATAAATAAATAAACATGTATTATTTTAAATATTTTTATTACACAAGGAAGTAATTGCTAAGACTTTATATATGAGACTTGAACAAATAGCAGCCAATAAGAGTAATAAATTGTCATTTCTAGATAATTTTGGTTATGGTAATATCATAGATTGAAAAAAGTGCCTTGTGTTGTGAAACTCAAGTTTACTTCAACTTGTGGTTGCATTAGCACAAACCATGGTAGCATGTAGTAGATGGCAAGTTGTGGTGGCAATAGCAAAAATTAGCGTAGCAATAGCAAAACCATATTTAAAATAAAAAACCACAATAATTGATAAATTTTAAA